CCCTAACCCTAACCCTAACCCTAACCCTAACCCTAACCCTAACCCTAACCCTAACCCTAGGGCTAGGGATGCGTCTCTTTGAGACGGTTGAAAAGGTGGGAACTGATGCGTCTAGTGCAGTCGCATGCTTTTTTGAGCGCTTTTTGGCGCGCTATCCTCACGTAAATCATCGAAAACACACCCTTCAACTTAATTGGTAGATTCGAATCGACGACATTTTCAAATTTTCTACTACCCATACAGTGTACAGTCACGCGAGTATACAACAATCATCAATCCATTCCTTCGTCTGAAAAAATCTCGTTTCCGAAGGAGCATCCAAGGGCGTCCGGTCAGCGAAGTCGATGCAAAGCTTGCCTGAAGCGCTGAATTGACAGACGTGCGGAGATCAACCCAACAGCGAGGCGGCTACCAGATCGGCCTGGGCTTGGCTGAAGGCCAAATGAATGCGAACAAAGCCAGGGCTCAGACCGAACAAGCAGCCTGGGGCAACGGCAATGTTTTTGGCGAGTGCCAATTGAAAAGCCTGCCAGTCGTCCACTTGGTCATGTTCGAGGAGGAGATACATGCCAGCCTGTGCGTTAATGGCCTTCCAGCCCAGAGCTGCTTCGAACGCCTGGCCGACGACTCTGGTGTTGTATGTCAAACGACGATGCCATGCAGTGACGAATGCATCGAATGCTTGCGGTCTCTTCATGAGATATTGACCTATGGCGTGTTGTGTCCAAGGTGCAGAGATGTAGAAGCGGTCATGTTCCTTGGCCATCATCTCGAAGCGATTCTGGCTGACAATGACGTAGGCAACGCGCCAACTTCCTATCGCCAATGACTTGCTGAAACCGTAAGCGACAAAGAGATTGTCTGCCTCTGGAACGTAGAGCGAGCGATGGATGCCGTCAGGGCTTGTGTAGACCATGTCGGCGTAAATGTCGTCTGACACAAACCAGGTGTCCTTGTAACGGCGGACGAGACCTTCGAGCCACTGGGCCTCATCTTCGGTGAGCACATGGCCGCTTGGATTGTGGGGGTTGGTAAGGATGCAGATGTCTGCACCACAGCCTTGTTCATAGAGCACTCTTTCGGTAGCGTTCCGATCGTAGGTGCAACCGTTTTCGGAGTCGATCCTCATGGGGACCGTGATGAGCTCGTAACCTTCTCTGCCAAAAATACCGTTGGCGATTTCAAGGTGATCTGTGCAGCAGCGCAGAAAGAAGCGAAACTGTCAGAAACTCTCCAGCGCCACCTTACCGAAGATTGTTCCTCGAGCCACTCGCTGTGGAAGAATCAGTCCAGACAATCAAGGTGACCTCGCATCAATGGACTTACAAGTATAGTAGGGGACGAAAAGCATGATACGTGGTTTGCGCCGGTAGCCATTCAAGGTGCGCCAAGCACTCAAGATGCTGGTAATCACACCTGAAACCCCGCTACAGATTAGAAAGTTGTCGCAGCTAAGGTTGACCTTGCCAGGTCCATAGCGACCTGATGCATGCAGCTTCACAAGCTGATGTCTGAGTTCGGAGTCGCCTTTACGCTCCCTGTACATGTGTAGCCATGGTACTTCGGCGCTCGAACACTGAGGCTTCATGACAGATATGGCTGCCTGGTGTAAGAGTTCGTTGCATGGCTCAACCTCGACCATACCGGCAGATAGATTGAAAATGCGAGTGTTCCTTTTGATCCTCTCCTCGTTGACGGAGTCGAATATGTCCCGCATCGTGTGCATGGGCTTCCCTTCGGTGTCGCTATGACCAGCGTGCGACGAAGCAAGTGTCGAGCTCTGCGAGCCATACGATCCTGTGTGAGATGATTCTGAGGAAGCTTTCCCCTCGCCGCTGACTGAGCTGTCCAAGTCAGGGATCACGATGAGACGTTCACAATGGGCTGCACCCAAACGTGAGAGCAAGTCAACGTTCTTGGTGACACCTTTGCATGCACGAGACTCCGACTCTATGGTCAAGCCTGCAATGTGGGGCGTACACTTGATCTGCGTGACTTTGAGCAGATTGGAGTCGGTGGTCAGAGGCTCTTGGTCAAATACCTGTATCGGGTGGTAGATCAAGAAAGTTAGGTATGCCTGGTCAACACACACTTGGTCGACGAAGCTATCAATACTCACGTCCAACGTAGCGCCGGCTACGCGATTCTCCTCGATTGCTTGCAGGAGCGCTGCTTCGTCCACGATGGCACCCCGTGCAGTGTTGATGAGCCAGGAATTGGGCTTCATCTTGCCAATTAGCGACTCGTCGAAAAGCTTTGTGGTACCTTCATCGAGTGGAAGATGGATCGATACGAAGTCGGCATCTTGGACGAGGCTTTGTAGAGGCCGCTGATGCAACTCTGGATGACGGGTGTCAAACACGTCCACTTGAATACCAACGGCGCTGGAGATACTAGCAAGATGGCCACCGATAAGTCCGCAGCCAACGATCAAGAGACGCGCATGACTCAACGAGTGTCTTTCCAGGTAATGGGGTTGTCGTGCCCACCCGTGTGTGCGAAAGTCAGCAGCGCCCTGCCGAGTCCACCTGCTGATGACAGCAGCAAGACAAAATTCAGCAACCTCTGCCGAACACCAGTCGGCATTGTTTGCCACTGCGATATTTCGCTGGCTGCAAGCTCGGAGGTCGATGTGATTGTACCCCACTCCCTGAGCTTGAATGAGCTTGGGCAGCGAAGCAGGCGCGAAGGTGGCCAGAACATTGTCGGAGATGGGTACAAAGCTGGAAACGAGCACGTCGAAGCGTCGAGACGTATGCTGGAGGAATCGCACCAGAGCTCCCTCTGTAGAACAGTTGAGGTGAAGCACATCTATATTGACGCCTTGTCTGGCGTGGTCTTGAGCCCAGGCACGAACGTCTTCACCGCCGAGCATCTCATCAACATAGAGAATGGATGTCGTCTCTCCCTTCGTCCGGAACAGGCCCCCTATGTTGGCAGGGGCGAAGCCCCGGTATTCCTTCCGTTCAATGATCTCGAAGAAAATCTCCGCTTGAGGGTGTAAGGCGGCGGTGAAGATCTGAGACAGCAGGCTGATGAAATCTCTCTGCTGTCCACCAGACCGCTTACTGTGAGAGCGTGCATGGACAAGGATGCCTTCTGAGCTGCGCTGAAGGACCTGGTCAAAAGCGATCGGATCAGACGAGGTGATGGCTAGACTAGGCTCGGCAGCTTCACGATGAGCGCGTACCAAATTGATCCTGCCGAGCGAGCGAATACGTTGTGCGTCTGCAACTATGTCGTCCGTCCTGAAGGCAATGTGTTGAATGTTGGCGCCGTGACGTTCGACAAAATCATAAACTTGCCCCTTCTTGCCACGCAAAGGCTCTACTATTGCAAAGTAGAAGTCCGAAGCGTGAGAGGTCAAGCCGGATTCGGAAGTCTCTAGATCTTGTGGATCATCGCTAGTGGACAGGAGCGTAAACATACGCATCCCCGCTTGTGGCTGTTCCACGATGAGGCCCTTCTCGGGCGATCCGCGATCTTCGCCATGACAGAACAGACGACGAAGACCGAATAGTTGCTGGAGTGTCGTTGTGACTCGGAAGGCAGTTCCCTCCTCAACTGCAACAGCTACGTGGTCGATTTTGCTGGCGACCTCAGAGGGAGACAAAGCAGCCGTTGTGCAAAGCTCGACAAAGTTAAGAATATCTTGATCGCCATCGAGGTGTCCGATCGATTTGGACTCGTGATGCTGGACGACGAACAGTAGTTGCGATAAGAAGCGCAAACGAAACGAAACCACGTTTACTTTGCTCGGATCCGAGTGACAAAGTCGATTGTCATGAGCAATTGAGACGTGAGAGATGTCTTGATGATCGATCTTGTCGAGTGCCGCAACGAGCCTGGACAAGCAAGCAGAAGAAGCTCTGAAAAAGATAGCCGTTGCGCGCGGAGCAAAGTCGGTGGATTGAGAGGCGTCTTTTGCGCATTGACGCAGTGAAATAGTGTCGCTCAGCGTCGCAGCCGCGTCGAGAGACCAGAAGGTGGTGTTGGCTAATTGGAGAGCCGATTCTTGCTGAGCGTCATGAGGGAGAATCGCGGCAAGGGCACTTCTGACATGATCGTCGTATACATCGAAATGTATCGAGCTGACTCGAAGATCGACAGTGACCATGCTGACTTGTGAAACACAGAAGGGGACAACAGGACGAGAAGTCTGTAATGTTTGAAACGCTAAGGGTTGTTATCATTCAGCGAAAGAGGCGATATAAATGATTTGACCGTCTCGCCCTTGGATCAATCTGAAGATGAACGGTACAATTCGTCTCCAAGGGTAAAGTGAAGGGCGAAACTGGAGTGAACGAAACAGGCGGTCTAGCTGCATTTCCAGGTACGAGATTACACACAGGCCCAAGCAAGCTTCACGCAAGAGTGAGGACAGGCAAGAATGGACAGGGAGCGCGCAGAAGAACTTTTGCCCGTGCCATCGAGCTTCCAGCCTTCTGTGAAGCCTATCAGCAAAGTCGCTACTGTGGACGACCGTCGCCGAAATGCTTCGCTTGCGCCCCGTCTCGGCTCGTTGCGCATCACGCAATCTCCACCATTCAAGGGCGTATCACAGGCTCCGTCGGAAGACAGAGCGCCGAAATTATTCGAGCCACAATGCTCTCAAAGTCTTTGTGCATGACAGCAAGACTGGGTAAGATGTTAGTTTCAACAGCCGAGAGGATAGGTGTTTTCCACTAGCCATGTTTTAAGCAATGCTTCTGGTGTTGTCGTGCTGGATAATTTTCCCATGTTGAAAAACCCAGAATTTGGTCGAGCCTATGTATTCCCATCGGCAGCGCGTTAAAGGCAAAAACGGTTGAATGGCACGGTGAATTGATGGATGTTCGGGAGACCAGCCTCCCGCAGTAGGAACCTGGGAAAATATTATCCGCCTTCTGCTCTCGGTAAGTGAGCTCAAACGGAAACTTTAACGCGAACAAAGCTTCTGCATGCAGACAGAGTTGAAGCGCGGCGTTTCTGCCACGAAAAAAGGGGTGATGAATGCCAGCATTCCTGCTGCCCAAAAATTGCGAAAATTGGGCGGCGTTTCTGGCAATCCAACCATTCCCTTCAACTGAAAGAGCTACGCACACCCGAAGCACTCTCCGAGAAACGTCGAAACAGGTGGCCTTGCAGATGCTGTTGAGTTGGAGACGACGCAGGCTCACCCAGTCAACGACATCGCAAATGCCTTCTTTACCTTTCACAAAATGCGCTGCGGATTAAAGAAGTTAGTGGCACCGAGGTCCGTTTTGCATGCAGAAGCGGTGTTGTTTTGCTCGAACAGGCTTCGTTTGAGAGTCCAAATCCTCCCTTCGTCCATGAAACTGCCCGCAAAGTGTTCAAACCTAGCTCGCTTTCAGGCTCCTTCACTCGCTCAAGCAGCAAGGCTGGAGCATCGATAGAGACGCGGAGCACCAAGACCAATTTAGTTTAGTCCTGCCTCCCAACAAGGTTCTGGTGGTGCAAACGTCTTGATTTGCTCACTGAATCAGCAGCTTGTCTTCCAGCCGTCCACCCCGTCATCACAAGCGTACAAGCTGTTCCGCACCACCATACGTAGAGATTGCCAGCTATGTTGTCCTTCTCGCAGGGACTCGAAGAGTTTCCTCTCTCTTTCTACTTTGCCAGCTTCACTTTGTTGGTCTGGATCGCCTCGTTGACTCCCTCATTACGATCGTGGTATGCTCATACCGCAGGCATCTCAAGACTCCCGCCTCAGTGGTAAGCTGAATAACGTTGCTCATTCTAGTCAGAGTAGGGCGAGCGCACTCACCACGTTTCCACCGTTTCCTGTACCGACTGCGCACTATCGGCGCGTGAACGTTCTACGCACAGGCATTCTATCCCTCGTCTCAGGATGGCCGGTTGGATCGAAGCTTCGCTCTCTGCTTCTGGAGTCGAATGGATGACGATACACAATCTGATCAAGAAACCTACTCTTACAAAATATGGCATAGCTCGTATGACGGTGGTCCAAGTACGTTACCACTCGCCCTTCCTTGTTGCCAGTCGATGCTGATGCCCCTAGTCTGCTCAACACCACGTCTTATGATCTCCTTCAGTTTGGAGCTGTGCTTCGTTTCCGCGAGATTGTTTACCTTTCCAGTCCCGAGTATATTGAATGGTTTCTTGCAACCGGTAAGCTGTGATAGCGGTCTCGACACTTCAGAGAAAGTTCTCGCTTGAAGCAAGACAGTTCCAACATCTTTACCTGCCTCTCGTGGTCCAATCTGCTGCACAGAACGTAAACATCCCAAGCGTCAATCTCAGGCTACACTTGACTCGGACACATTTGGATGCCATGTCTTCAATTCATCCGGATCTGCTTGGACCGCTCACCGCCGCGTTATGAACCCCGCCCTCGGCTCTGCTCCCAACCGTCGGATTATTGCATCCGAGACTCGAGACCTTGTGGCTCTGACTTCGACATCGGAGACGTGGGATGCTGGTATACTACTTCAGAGGTGATCGTCTTGAAAGCCTGGGATTCAATCGACGGTCGAAAGTGTATCAGCTGACCAACTTTGTTACGCATTTCCTTGACCGCTTTGTACAGGTTCGCTGTCAATGTGCTGGGTAAGTGATGGCTAGGAACCTCGTTCTGTCTGCGTTCAATAAAATTGACGACGTTTCTCTTCCTAAACAGGCAACACATTGTTCGGCATCAACTTCGATGCTATGAAAACACCCAAAATCTGGTTCGAGCCAATGAAACGAATCGAACACATTTTGGAGCCACGATTCTCGGACTGGCTGACTCCGCTTCGTAAGTTGATCGCATTGCCCTTTCGACGGAAGAACATAGACCTCGACTATAAGCTGCTATGGTTTCTCCAATCTTCCTATGCAGAACGTTTTGACGATTTCGCCAAGTCTCCAGCAAACATGCAGTTCAGGGAGGATCAGCTACAGCGCATGGTGGCTGAAGTAATGATCCGGAAAGAGGACTTTGCAGATGAGCCGTTGAAGTACACTCTTGTCGATGTCGTAAGTCTGCAGTGATAGCTCCCAGAACAGGGACCCTGCCATATCACAGACGTTTATTCTCAAGATCTCCGCTTATCTTTCTCTCTTTACAGCTTGCAAAAGATCAGTTGCAACCGATGCCGGTTTTGAATACCGCTCGCATCAAAGAAAACCTCGAGTTCCTGTTCTTCAGCGGTCATCATAGCATCACTCTAGCGCTCTGCCACATTGTCCGTCAACTTTCCTTACAGCCAGTAAGCATCAACCAGCTCCAATATTGCAGCTCACCCGTCTTGCACCACTTGGTTGACGTGTCTGACAATTGGTACCTACAGAGCTTGTATGAACGGGTGGTGGAAGAAGCAGATCGCACTGTCATGGTGCCAGAGCACTCTGAAAGCCTTATTCGCAACTTGGTCTTGGAAGCTCTCCGCTTCCATCCACCTATCGAAGAAAGTCCTGATTAGTAAGTGCACTTGTTGCAACTGAATAGTCGCCCTCGAAACCGGTAATAATCTCTTTGATCTTTTTTTCGCTTTGCAATGCATAGTGTGGCCTCAGAAGATTTGTGGCTTCCCGGAGGTTATTTTGTCCCTCGTGGAGGTATCTTGCGTTTTTCAGCGCTTGCTGCTCATCACACGAGCACAAGCTACGATTCGCCCTCGCTCTTCAATCCGGATCGCAATATGCACAACCTCGATGCCAAATACTGGCTGCCGTTTGGCTTGGGTCAGCGAAGATGCCCGGCTCGTCATCTTGCCATCAACATTCTGGCACATGCGACTTTGGCTTTGGTTCAAAATTTCCGATTCGAGCTACAGGGCAGGAAGCACTTGAAACGCATGCACTTCAAGAGCTTTATGGGCACGGAGCCGGACAGATTGATGATTCGATTCATTCCACGATCACCCACTGTTCCTGGGGACCATACATCGAAGTAATGGAACCGTCGCGAGACAGAAACGTGTTGGAATACAGACCACCTTCGGTGGCTGGAACGAGGCCAAACTGTCCCAATAAATGACAAATGCAAGATTGGCGTGAGACCTCCAACATGTGGTGCGATGAGAGTTGGAAAAGAGTACGTACATGGTCTTTACCACGCTGCTCGACCCAAACGGGCGTGAGTTTTCCCTTGAGGTTGATCTTTACTTGCTGAGGATCACCATACCGACCGACTTGTCCATCATCTAGGGCCAGCCAAAAGTGTTGATCGACTCGGAGACGACTTCCCGTAATTCCCAGCTTCAAAATTCCTGTGCGATCAACGCTGAGTCGCACAGAGCCGTTGCAATAGACTCCGGTTGTTTGAGTCATTACCGCGTCAGAAGAGCTAGAAGGTAACAAGAACGTAGCTGTCAAGAGATGGACGTCGTTAGAGGTAGAGCAAAAGTCGCATTCTCGCACAGCTTATAGACGGCGTTGGGACTTTATGAAGCACGGCTAAGTGGTTTGCACGCCAAAGTTAGGCGTGGGCAGTCTGTAGGCAAGACGGTTCCGACCAGGCAAGCCTGGAAGCGCGTAATTAACCTCGCAATCTCACCAAACATATGATTGCTCTCAGCAAGCAACTATGTTAAAAAAAAAGAGCAAGGAGTTGTGGAACGAAGCTGGGCAAGAGTTTCAGCGTTATTCGTGGGACTGTATGCAATCTTATCCGGACCACGTTCATCCGCGTCGAACGTGCCTGACCCAGATTGCGCTTTGTCGAGATCCTCGCGAGTCTAAATTTCGCTTAAGTGGTTCGAAATATTGCGAGCTGACTTCGATTCTGATACCGGACCGGAGTTGTCAGAGGATCGTTCTGCAGCTCGGTCTCGCTTCAAATTCAGGCACCGCCCATGGGCGACCACAATGTCGCAGACAGCGCAATGTGACACCGGGTAGCGATTTCTTCTTTGAATTTGACATGTTAATAATTAGGCCATTTCTCGGTGTGCCGTTTGACATTGCCGCTCCGCGGTTCAGAACATTACAAAGCATCCAACCATCTTCTGGGTCCAACACCCCCCCCC